TTTTTTTTTCACTAACATCTATTTCAGCAATGAATCAAACACGAAACAATACTGAGATTCTTCACACAGTATCACGTTGCCGTTAATAATAAAAATGTAGTGCGGCTTTTGTGAACTCTCTGTGGAAGTTATTGACGTCGTTGTCAAGTTTACCGTAATTGCGGTAAATAAAGTGAGAAAACCAACTAGCATGTAGAACATAAAATAAACATAGCTTCATAATTCCCTTAAGGTTTTTCCGCTGAGCTTGTTTGCAATTCGAAAACATTGTTAATATTTTATCCATCTTTCACTTCAATGTTGCTAAAAATCCCTTAACAGGGAAACACAATTTTTAAAGTGAAGATAATCGTGAGTCATAGGGGCATATGTTTCCAACAGATCCCTTATAGCTTGCAAGAGTTGAACTCATCCTAATATAATTGTACTTTTTATCTATTTGATAACGACAACCCAAACGTTATTGGTTAGTGTCTACAAATACACGCTACGTGCCGCGTTAATCATTGTTCGTGAAGTCGCGTGAAAATTACCGCTGGCTTAGTTACGGGCAGTAGAGTAATTCCCTGTAGGAGTTCATGTGTTCGTTTCCGACCTCTGAGCTTTGGGTATTTCAGCAAGAATCTAACTAATTCCCAATGGATTTCTCCGCAGAGAAAACACGTACCGCGAGGGATAAAATACAATTAAGGAATATCAACATCATTACGGACATGGACAGTGATCGGCGGGTGAACTGTGTCAATGTAAAGCCAGATAGCTCTTCTGTAAAACCTACGGAAAAATGTAGGACTTGGAAGAAGGCGATTAACCGCAAAATATCTGCTAGGCTAGAAGCTCCTGATCAGGCATTGCTTTCTTTCAGGGATTTCGACGCAGCTAAGAAATTTTACAAGCGGAAGATTAAGATGTTGTCAAGTGTTGCGTGTGTAATGGGACTGATCTCGGCCGTCTTAGCACTGGTGGATATTGAACTCACCACGCGCGGGAGAGTCTCTGAGGAAGAGCTATCACCAGGAGATTTACGTACGGCTCTTGATAATCCGTTCAGACTTGCAGCTGTAGTAGTGAAGTCCGTGTTGTCTGTCTTATCGCTGTTGACCTCCTTCACAATTTATCGCATGTATGTGAACGAACTTAGCTACTTAATTGTCAGGAACATTTACCACGAGTCAGAGAGATTTGTTATGACTTCACTTTTTCCCACCTGTTTGGTAGAAGTGGCTCTTTGTCTGTTTCATGTTCCTCCTCTGTTAGACTACTATGGCATGCCTTATGAACTTCAGCTTTTGGTTTTCCTAAGATTATATCTCATGGCAAAATACGTAAAAGAACACAACATGTTTGTAGACAATCATGCCACAGCATTGTTCGCATCTGTGACACAAACGGAGATCTCGTCCATTTTCCTGATAAAAGCCTACTTTTTGAAGTTTCCTTTCAAAATGGTATTTACATTTTACTCCCTCAACATTTTCTTGGGTGGCTATTGTGTTTACGTTATCGACAGGGCCCACAATACTTATTTGGTAAGTTTGAAAACTTTTTTTTTTCTAATTTTGTCTAGTCGTAATTTTTACTCAGGCTAAAATAATTGTCGAGGTCGTCCGAATACAAACCAGTATGTTTACTTAGATGGCCATTTAAGCCGTCTAGGGCGCCTTCATGCGCCGACAAACCAAACGCAGGTTTGTGAATGAGTAATTTGTTTACTTTTCGAATATGAATTCCGGTGCAAATGATATATGAAGCGTCGGGTTATGGTGCCCTGGGCGAGTTTAGTACTTTATTACTCGACAAACGTTTGTTTTAGAAAGAGATATAATGGTTTCAGTTTCAACACTCTGACTAGTTTCTATTCCAAAGTTTTAATTCGTCATGACCCCATTAAGGATGAGGCAACTAGTTTCAAATTTCAGAACTGCTTCTCTGTTTGCAGTAAATTCGTTACTTTATATTCAATAATCTCGCACGTCCAAAAATTACGCCTATGTGTATGGTGTAAAATGTTTTATCTGTTAATCTTGATGCATCTACCACAGCTGGGGCTGGAGTGATTAAAAATTGAATAGTTCTTTATCAAGCCCACCTCTATTGTAATTCTAATAAGTTTTTTTGTGCTACAACAAGTTACTCTTTTCTTAAACAAAGCGCTGACAGCAAATTAAACGACCCCATGCTTCGCAAAGAAGAGAAAGTAAATTCAGTTTTTTGATCAGTCAGCCTGGCTGTTGTTCGTTAAGCTCTTATCTCCTGTTGACACTCAATTCAGCGCTATCTTGCACTTCTCGTGGCGACCTCTTGCCTTCAAATATCACAAACAACGAACCGGTGTCTGAGGCTACTTCTGTTGGTCAAAACACATTAAGAAAAAGAAAATTACGCGCCTAAACGATGGCGAACACGCTGTTGTGTATTTGGAAATAAAGCGGCGATGGCCAGAGCTGAAAACAACTTTCACAGTGATGAGGTAACTTCTTAAGAAGAAATAAAAGGCGCTGCAATCGAGATCTCCCATCGGCAGCTTAGACTCTGTCACAGGACGCACGGAAGCTTCAAAGAATTCGGAGAACGCTAGATTGCCTCTTCTTCGAAAACAAACATTTATGACTTCGTGATGTTCACGTGTCCAATGTAAAATGAGGAAATCAAAATGTAGTAAGCGTCTGTACAGAGCTAAAAATACTTTTTTCGTACTTAAAAGGCTACTAAATATCATGTACAGTCGTACAGCCATCAATCCCTTCCTTGAAAGTAAGTATTTAGAACGTTTCCGTTTCAGTACGCATGAATTATACTAAAATCTCGTCTTTGCCTATGTTATCAAGTCGTAGTTCTTACAAAAAAAACTAAGAAAACAACAATGAGTAATAGCTTTGCACGCACCGTTAAAGGGGTGCAAAACTCGGTGAAAATAAACGTGCACCAATGGTCAGATATACTCTTTTTGTGCGTTTGGTTCTGCAACTAGAAATTGATAGTTGGTCTTGTAAGCTTGTAAAGGAACTTAATTGGAGTACACGGGTTGGTGGTAATGCAGAAGAAGCTGTTAGATTTAGGGGAACAATGAGTGGGCTTGCTATAAAAGCTTACTTTGTTTGGATGACTTTTGTGTAAAACAATAGAGCGCTGTTGGTAATAAAAACGATGAAGCAGTCGTTCTTAAGTAACTCTATAAACTAATTTGCTTGCTGGGTTTGCAAACATGCTTGCATATGTGGCGCTGTAAGGTATTAAAGATTTTTCCGTGTTCAGTAAAGGGGATTAATGAAGAGGTATAAGAAGAAAAATCGAAATATAAAACACTGGTTAGGGAAGGTTCCATTCATGCGAAAACTTGAAAAAAAAATCCACCATGGGAGCTCTCAGACTCGTTGAACTTTCAAACTGAAATTTGAAGCATTTGTATGACTCCCAAACGCTTTCATAATCATACACTGGAGAAATGAGTATTCTCTGGTAGGATAAGTAGTTAACAATATCTTTATTCGTTATCGTGGAACAGCAGGGAATCTACCTAGGATAGCTAACACACCTTGTTAATTTCGCTAACTGGCATGCAAATTACTCGCTCAAATATTTGGTGCATGGAACGAATAACCTTTTTTCAAAATTAAAACTACAAAGGTGCAAGGGGTTCCGATCTTTTGACTTGCTAATTCTTTAACTCGTGACATTTCTAGATGAACCATAGAAATTAAAAACAAATTGGGTGAACCATTTCGCTAACTAGTTTCAAAACAAACCTGGAGTTACATCTAATGAGACTAATTTGTACCAATTAGGGTCTAACCTCCTTTGGAGCAGAACACTATCGAAAGCGAAATTCAAATAACACCGATATTAACAATTTTGACGCTCATTTTTTAAGAATAAATTATTTAAAAAAATACTTTTACTCCTCTTGCCATAAACTGAATAGTAAGACGAATTATGTTTTTAGTCTAAATGTAATCGTGATAAAGAATCGTCGTCTGAAACCATGGTGTAAAAAAAAAAAAATACACAATCATGCAATGTTAAATTAACGATATAAAATGTCGCTTGTAACCATATAATACATAGGACCCCAGGTTCTCGTGTTTTGGGATCAATGTTCTGCCCCTCGGCACTAATCGATTGAATACGACCTTGACTACAAAAACAGTGGGGCATTTGAAAAACTAATTCGAGCTTATTTAGTGTACCAAGTTAGTCTTATTGGTTCAATACACTAGTTGAATACATTGCTTAATCGCACGCCTGGCGCTATTATTGCCACATATTTTAATAATTTTGAGCTGTGCCTGAGGTATTTACAATAACACGAATTAGAAACACAGCGGAAGGACTTCAAAAAAGCCGGTATTATATGTCTTTCTTTATTAAAAACAAAACTCACAAATTACGAAAACAGTTCCTTCAAATTAAGCGAATACTACAATCGAGACAAAACAGAATAGTTTTATCCTTATTCCATATTCAATTTTAGGTAGATAAATTGCAAGCTAGTAACCATATTAATTTATTTCTAAAATGTAAAACGAAATAACTTTTACCTTTGTAGCAGGTGATTTTGCTCTGCGGGCACAAAATTACCTCTCAGCGTAAATTTCACCAACGTCACTTTTTTTTTTATCTATTTCACCATTTATTTGAGAGAGGTTCGGAAAAAAAAGCGAGTTAAATTTTGTTCTTCAATATTTGTGTGCGTTTTTTTTTGCGTTTCCTTCCCTATTTCTCCCCCCCCCCTCCCTTCCTCGCTGTTTCCTTACGTGTTCTCTACCTTTCTCAGTACATAAGGTCTCTAAGATCTGAACAGGACTGTTGTCAGACATTGGCTGATATTTCGATAAGACTGGTAAGCGGAAGTCACCATCAGAGTTTACTCGACTCTGCTGATGGGGAATGGGATGCAAAGAAAATTCATGAAAAAACAACGCCTTAATGCTGGTCAAAGGACAATTACATCCAAGTGATTAACTACTTTGAACTATTTTTTAAAACTGCACGTTAAGTCTCTGTGTGAAACGTATCTTCAAGATTGTATTGCGTATTCTAAATTACGTTTAACCTTTCTTGAAATGCACCATCAGGACACTGTTTGGATGCTCGTTGTCACCATGACAACGCTTGGGTTTGGAGATGTAGTACCTAAAGCCATCTTAGCCCGTGCGTTTGTTGGATTTGCGTCGGTGTTGGGAATATTCCTCATGGCTCTATTCATAAGTGTCGTACATGAATCCCTTCAACTTAAACAACAGGAGAAAAGAATACTAGCGACCATGGAGAATGCTGGTAATTTAACTCACTCATTTTTTCTTTTCATTTCTATTGTTGTTGCAGTATTATTGTTTCTGTTCAATATGACACGAATTGACACGAATATAATACGAATTGAACTGACTTCTCTGTTCGTGTGAGTCTCTGATTAAATCAGTTGAACTTGGTAGTGCCTTGAACAGTTCATTTAAATTCTAACCAACTTTGCAAGGAAATGAGGACTTGATTGGCCAAGGGGGCCTTTTTTCTTCACTCAAAACAAAAACACACTGTGCTAAAGTCATGTGAAGGTAGAAGCAATGTATAAGGACTTCAACGTAACTCTGTTTTCTCCACGCATTGTTCAGTATGAGAGGTTATCTTTCTTGTAGATCACCATTCGTTGAAAAAGAATCTTGCAGCCACGTGCATACAAAACACATGGAGACTATATCACTTTATACAGGAGAACACAGAAGCCCTCGTGATGGGAGACTGGTTCAAGTCTCAAAAGCTCAGAATGTTTCAACACAAACTTGCGGAAAGCGTGCGGCGGTGGAGGATCGTAAGGAAAAGCTGGTCAAGAGGTACGTGTTAGCATTTTTGAACGGGGGTGGGAAGTAAAACTTCAGTTGTCAACCCTAAACTAAAGCCAACGAAAGCCTCTAATACGATTTACAGAGCGTGGAATTATTTTAATCACTATGTCTTCGATAGCATCCAAGCAGGAACATGTCTACAGTTATAATAATAGGAAAAGACATGCTATTTAACGAACAACATAACTGACTTCTTTTAGGCCCGCTACAGTTGGCGAGCTAACAGAATAAGCAAATAAAGCATACAGCACGCATCATATTTTCTCTGTTTTAACCAAGAAGAAGTCTTACCCATGTCGCAGAGAACTCGACTTCTGGTCTTCAAAATTCGAATGAACACAATTAAATTATTGGTGACCTTTTTATCATCTCGAATACATAGACACTACAGTCTTAACAGTGTTCACCGCAGAGCACCATAATCGCAAATACCTCAGGCTAGTCAGAGAGCTTAAATTGTTGACGAGAATACAGCTCGTTAGGATGCAGTTCCGGGTCCATAGAGAGGTTCTCTGTCCTCGAATACCAGAAATGAAGGGTTCATATCTGGTTAGTGGCGTAAATCAGTGGCTTCTACTGATTGAGCTGTTTGCCGGCAGGAACGGACGTCGATAGAAACCTGATAAAGCATCACTTTCCTTCTTATTACACACGTGAACTTGCAGGAGTCCAGTTATCATTCCATACTTTTTTGCCAAACTTTCAACAGATGACTATTGGAAGAAGTTCTTCCTGGCTGACGACATTGCTATGTTGCTAACTGACGTGTCAAGGAGTATCGGGAACGTGGAAGATTTTCTCCAGAAGCAAAATGGCGGGCGGCGTACTAGCAGAAACTCGTTGAAAAGCATTGCATCTCCACCTACCATATTGGAAGTAAGTAAACTGACTTTTTCGGAAAAAAAAAAGGCTAAACCTGCATTTATATATACGCACACTGGATAAGTAGCAAAAATGTGATGACCGGGATTAAGAAATACTGACTACGCGGAGATTTAGCGTTTTCTCGTAACTTTTGTTTTGGGAATTTACAGGAGGAACCGTCCGCGGAGCCAACGCAAAGGGACCAAAACAGAAAAATGCAGGCAGTATTGGTCGACTCGTGGCGGCCTTCAAACTTCGGACAAGCTAATGAATCCCCAGCCTCGACGAGACGTACACACTCGGACACGGGTCACACCCATCCGGGACATCTCCAACACCTCTCATTAACTTACAGTCCTGACAATCACACGTCAAATGGAAAACTGAACGACCTGAGAGAACATGGGCGGGTCACGCAACTTACTCGTCGGTCACGGTTAGAAAGTGATCCAATCGACAGAGGATATTTGCCTTCAGACGATCTTCAGGGAAAAGTAGAATCACTTGAGAATTCACTCGATCAAATTTATCGGAAAATGAAGACCGAGCTCGGAGACGTTAGAGAGTCGATAAGGAAGATAAACAGATATTCAGCTGGGTCGAGTTATAGTATGAGCCCGTCACCGTCCACAAAAAACAATAACATGTATCCCTGTCGATATCCACGAACAACTGACCATGTCGACGTATGACAGAACAGGGAAGAAAATAATAATCCAGCAGAGAATAGTTTCAAGTCACGTTCAGTTGCTGATTTCGTAAAAAATGCTTCATTTTGAACAAACCTGGCAAAAGATAAAACAATTTGCTGACGAAAAACGCCCAATTTGATCACTTTTGTGGACGATATTCCCCGTCTTTGTTCTCCATAATCGGACATATATGAAAAAGAGATTACCGTGCGTCACACTGGCGCAGCACAGCTCTTACCCTCTTTCCTAAGTTTCTGTTTTTTTTTTTTAAATCAAATGTTTCATTGTCTGAAAGACTCGAAATAAGCTGGTAGCCTAAAAGTAATCTTTGTTCAACAAGAAAATTTTATTTTCAGCACAGGAAAAAATTGGATTGAGATCACTAATGCAAGAAGAGATATGAGAGGGGGTAAAGTAGTTTATATTTACGTCGTACATAACGATAAACTAAAAACAGAGCCATAGGTATTAAAGTTTACCAAATCAAAGTCATGCAGGCCATGAGATTTGAGAGATTAATCATGCCAGGAAATTACATACATTTTTAAGAACATTTAGAGTAACTGGGAGGAGCTTCCGCGCTAATAGCTGAGCTAAAGAGGAAAGGAATGAGTAGATAGCACATTTGTCTTTTGAACCCTCCATTCCTCCATTCATTTGCAATCAGAGAAGGGTCAAGCTACCTTTACTTCTACCTAATCCATGTAGTTCGTGCAGAACATTGATAAAATAATAACAATACTAAGAGAGAGCAAAAAAGAAAAAAGCAATTAGAAATGATCAAGGAATTAGTTTGTAAAGAAACTGTGGAGCCATCTTAGCAGATGAAACAACGCGTAGTTAATAACGGTAAATTCTCATATCTTACTTGAAGAGCAGGAGTCTCCGTCAGAAGGGAGTAGAACATTCTTAGTTCCTTATAAGGAGAGGAGTACGAATTGGACACTACCTGGGAAAACGTTTTGACCAGCGACAGGTCGGTGATCTTTGTGGTTCACCCCAACGTTACCTGTTAAACTGATCTTGAAACAACCCGATGTTTTAAGAACTGAAAGTTGTATGTTACATATACTGCCATTTTTATTAACTTAAATAGTTGAATTGTATATAGTAGAGTTTTGTACTGATAAAACGTTTACAATCAATTTCTATGGCTCCAAGTACTTAAGATAAAATTATGATGATAGACGCATTTAAGTCCACTGAATTCATAAATTTCACTGCGAGAGAACTGAATAAGACGAAATTTTCTTTGAACTGGGTGGGATACATGTCCTAGAAGTAACTGATAACCCTGAGAGACTTCACTGCTGTCTCAAGACTAACTTTAACATGACAATGCAGGGATCAAATTAACAGAGAGCAACGCGTGAAACAGGAATCCTTCCTCCCCGTTGCGGAACTACGCTCCCCCTCCTCCTAGTTAGCAGAACAACTTTCATCGCCAGTTAGCAGAACAGCTCTTTCCTTAAAAGGAATTAAGCTTGGATTTCCCCTAGTCGGCTTGTTTGCCTCGATATTGTGGAAAAACGCAGCCAGAGATTGAAACGCTTGGGTTGGTTTCCATATGATCGATGCTAGGCAGTTGTGATACATAAGGCGATTTGGCAAGCTTTCTGTGCTTCTTGGGATACTTTGTATCTATTCTACTAAGCCCGGTTTCCATACGATCGCCGCTGCCGACGAAGTTGTGATCTTTACATCGCAACAACTGCGATCGCTGAAGATCAGTTAGATCACCGAGAATAGGGGGTATCTGAAGGTTTTTCCCATTGCAAGTTTGCCCCCTACCACCTTTATAAACTCGCACCCCGAAGTACTACAAATTTGTTCTCACCATAATCAGTTCACCTCCAAATCTTTCAACTCATCCCCTTCCGGAAAAACATATTCCTTTTTTGTAGAATTCAGAATATACTTCGATCAACATGCAAGTTTTTTTCTGAGTCAGTCACTAAAATGTCTATGACTTGTCTCATAACCTGCTTCCTTAGGTTTGCAGAACGCGAATTCAATGAAGAACTAGAATGATTTGTTACACTCTTCTGAGGATGTCAAATGGCCGTGCACAACAATTTCTGTTTCTCCGTGATGTGTTCTTGCTTGTGATAGCAAGATCAGAAGTCTGGGGAACTGATTCCTGTCAATGTGAGCTGTCCATGAAAAGATTCGTGACAAACAAACGAAATAAACCCATCAAACACCAAAGTAAGTGGAACAGCTTTATTTCTCGTTCCTCTCTCGTCCCAGACACGTTATGCTAACTTGCGTATCAAGCACTTTATCATGCAAACTACATATAAGAGATCGTTCCATCTCATCTTGGTATTGTTAGAACCACTAGGGTTACTGGGTTACCAAAACAAATTCTATCGCCCCATCCTTTTTCGTTTGAAGTGGTATTACTCATGCTACAAATCATAACTAACCACGCAGAAAATTTCAGTTTCACTCTTCTTATTATTACTATCAGTCAAGTTGACCTTACTCAAGACCCCTTATGGTGTACAGCGCCTTTGCATGACTTTTTGTTTTCGTTGTTGATGTTGTTGTTCTTACATAGGTAACCCTCTATTTTCTCTGCCTTTCCGTGCCCCCTCCCCTCCCCTACTCTAACCCACTCTAAATTTCTCTCACTCTGGGCGATAAGCTGAGAGAAATGAGAATTTCTTTCGACAGCAGCGCTTATTTAAGGCTCTAGAGAAGAAGGCAGTGTGGCTGAGTGGTCGGCGTGTCGGACTCGCAATCCGCCGCTCCCGGGTTCGAGTCCCGCCCAGACCACTACCTTGATTTGTTTCACGATAGCTCCAAGTTCAAATCCTCGGCCATGCTTGTAAATAGCCAACTGGTTTGCCTTCGGTCAGTTGAGATTCTTAATAATGTTATTCTCAATTTGAATTATTTGTTTCAGTTGTTTGGTGGAAAACCTGTAAACTAGCTTTTCAGCTAAGTGTTTCTACCCACTTTAAATAAGGATTATTATTATTTATTATTAAGTAGCCACTATTCTAGACACACTGTGTCCTATAAAAATATTGGGTGCCTGCGCCTTCATTTACATATCAACGGTGTAAAGGGTGCTTTGCCACCGGTAACAATATCCCTGTGCACGCGCGTTTAGAGCTTAAACTAATAAAGAACCCTGGCGCAACCGATCTCTCATCCATGCTTTTGATCAAATTTCTCTCAAATCGGAGAGAGTTCAGTTCACTACAGTATAACATCACAAGTTTTTTGTTCTTCATTTCCTATTGTGCGGTCATAGCTTTCGCTGACCCTTTCTCGTCTTTCCATCAGTCCACATGATATAACGAAGGGTGGAGGTGCAATATCTGGAGCCCTTCTAAAGAACTGCATTGACATCCAAAATCGTTCTCTAGAGTTAGAAAACTTGATATCCTCTACTACAGTGAGCCAAGACAGAGTCCAAGTTTTCCAAACCCGAGGTTTCCATTATTTAGCAGCACTGTACTGGTCTTTACGGGAAAGACGAGGTAGATGAAGAAGATGATGCCCTTGTATGTTTTTCCGACGTTTCTTCTTGCTCGTCGTATTTTAAGGTGGGACGGAGAGACGCTCGGGTTAGTCCCCAAAACTTACTGGGCGACAGACCCTTTTTAACCGCAGTGAAACGCCATCCTAAGTGGTCAGCGCACTGTGCACATTCAGCTATAGTCCAAGCATACCTAAATAAAACAAGGGCAAAAACGTTATCTCCTCGTGGTGTACACTGAATTTGCTTTGCTCGTAATCCACCTCTATTTTGTCCCAGAATTTCAAGTTCTCTTTCAAACTGCGCACTTCTTCAATTACGAGCATCTCACCGACTATCAGTATCAAAGTATTTCCGCATGTTAGTACTACCCTTAGCTCCGCTTTATGAGGTTTGCTTCCTTACCGGGATAGATAAGGTTTGAAAGAAGGTAAAAGTGAGTGGAAAACCTCATAAAAATACACAGAACAAGAAAATTAGACAAAGGTTACATCTGTCAAGGTTAGCAGCATCTGATGGGGATGGGTTGGGGGAGATACCGACTTACCCTGGAAACCAACTGTTCTGTGCGGTGGGTTTTCCTCTGAGTCTGATGCCGGAGGCTCGATAAAATGTTAGCGTTTCGTGCACCCAGCCATTCGGATTCACATAAGCACCTAACGGACCATCCAAGGACATGCTGAAAAATAATATAAAAATACTGAACAACGACTCGACTTCTAACTGAGTTTAAAACAACCAGATGATAACAGTTGGACATAACTTTCACCCCTGTTGCAGTAAGGTATTACTATGCAACAACTTATCATTGAGACCAAGGTAAAAATGATTTAAAGAAAAGCCTGCTCCAAGGTTTATTAATCAGCCCTCTCCTTCGTATGCATTATGTGTAGCGGTAACCGAGAAATGGGAAAAAATATGGCTATTTTAGGACAAACGTTCTTACACATACCCAAGATTCCTTTACATCAACCGTATAAATCGCAAAAAAGCGAAAGGTTGTCACTTGGCAGATATGTGGAATGCTCTCTAACTTTCCGTCGATTGGGAACGATATTACTGAAGAGAGTTTCATGGAACTCTGAGAATCATCATTTGAAACAATTCTCTGGAAAAAAATTATGTGATGTTCAGTTAGACTGGTTTGAACTAACCACATGACGGCTCACCTGAATAAATCGCTTTTTCCTACGATCTTGGTATCACAACTGCTACAGCACAACACGCTACACTGTAAGACAAAAATTGGGACATAAGGTGTGAATCCGAAAGGACGGGTAATCAATCGATGGTGGGTACTTCCTTATTTTGAAACACGTTAACATCCAGTTAACTAACGAAACCAAGGGTTATTGAGTTTGCGAAAACTTGTCTTCGTTGGGACTTAGAAACGGGAATTAATGTAAGTAAAAAATTTGTAATTAATTATATCTATAGAGAAATTATGAAAATTTGCAATGAAACATCTCTGTATATTTTTGAAAATATTATGATTTGTAATATAACACCTCCAAATTTCGCCGTTAACTAACCTCGAATTATTCGCTTTGTACATATATGCATATAAGGGAATCAGTGACCTCGCGATTAATTAACTGCGAAATGTTCGTCTAAATATATGAGGGAATCGGTGACTTCGCGATTGATTAACTGCACAATGTTCGTCTAAATATATGAGTGAATCGGCGACTTCGCGATTAATTAACTGCGAAATGTTCGTCTGAATATAGTAGGAATCAGTGACTTCGCGATTAGTTAACGGCGAAATGTTCGTCTGAATATGTTAAGGAATCAGTGACCGCGATTAATTAACTGCGAAATGTTCGTTCGGGAATCGGTGACTTCGCGATTAATTAACTGCGAAATGTTCGTCTGAATATAGTAGGGAAGCAGTGACTTCGCGATTAATTAACTACGAAATGTTCGTCTGAATATAGTAGGGAAGCAGTGACTTCGCGATTAATTAACGGCGAAATGTTCGTCTGAATATGTTAGGGAATCAGTGACTTCGCGATTAATTAACTGCGAAATGTTCGTCTGAATATATGAGGGAATCGGTGACTTCGCGATTAATTAACTGCGAAATGTTCGTCTGAATATATGAGGGAATCGGTGACTTCGCGATTAATTAACTGTGAAATGTTCGTCTGCGATAAAAGGGCAAGACTCGAGGCACGGTCATCCAGGAAAAAGTTGGGAGAGGCAATGATTGGCAAGAGAGTTGAAGTGGAATATGAGGAGAAAGTTGATGGGGAAACAAAGTATCTTGGATGGATACGTGGAACTGTTATGGAATATGACAAATTTAAGGGCTATCTTGTTCAGTTTCCAGATGATGTGGACTGGAGACTGGAGTCTCAGAAGCAAGGACGTACGAATTTTAGAGTAGTGCTTTTTTTGTTCTTTTCAACATAACGGGGCACTGTGCCAAAAGAGTTAAATCATGGGAGGGACAATTCTAACAATCGTTGTTTTGAGCAACACCTTGTGGAACTTTGAGTCCTCCCGGAAATTTTGAAGATCCTTCCGAGTGTTTCGGTGACATTCTTGTAAAATGTCAAAACTTTGCTCTTTTTTTCTGCAGTATCCCAGAAATATGTCATATTTCCCATCAAAAATCCCGAGTCTTCTCGATTCTTTTGTTTTTCTCCCTAATAGGCCTTGTTAGAGTTGTCACCCCCTATTGTAACCTCCTTTTTTAGTTCATCAATTTGTTAAATTTTGCTTAAACGATAGCCAGACTCGCCTTAGCGTAGAGATACCAAGGCTCTGCACTGTTATTGCAACTGCTACATGTCGTAATTACTTTTTCAACCAAGCTTTAACATTGTTTTTTTCCCTTATCGCTAATGGTATCCCTAAGTTCTCTCTCTAAAGTACGTCACCCTTGCACACACTAAGATTAACATTAACTGAGTAGAAGCTTGATCGTTCACTTTTAGATACTAAATCAGCAGCCTTTTTGGATTTACCGATGGTGGAAATACCGCGAATTCTAGACATATTGTATAAGCATACCAACGCGACAACTCTAACGAACAGTGAACTTCAAACGAAAACTTTGTAAGAATGGCTTAATTACAACTCATGGGGGTCCCAGCCGAGGTGAGCAGAAATTCCCAAACATCATACAGTGAGAAATAAGAAAAACATGAACATTTCGCAGTTAATTAATCGCGAAATCACCAATTCCCTCATATATTTAGACGAACATTTCGCAGTTAATTAATGGCGAAGTCACTGATGCCCTAATATATTGAGACGAACATTTTGCAGTTAATTAAACGCGAAGTACCTGATTTCCTTATATATGTAGACGAACATTTCGCATTTAATTAATCGCGAAGTCACTCACGCCCTGATATATTGAGACGAATCATTTTGCAGTTAATTAATCGCGGAGTACCTGATTTCCTTATACGTGTAGACGAACATTTCGCAGTTAACTAACTGCAAAGTCCTTCGCTTCTGTAACATATATAAAGAGACATTTTTGCTAAATTTCATTTGTCTCTATAGAGTGACATAAATGCAAACTTTGCAATTGTAAAATCTCTCCTTAGAAACGAGTAGACAAAAAACCAACAACAACAAAGACACGAAACCAATTGACCAGCATCAACATTAGAGGTCGTAAATTAAATGTCAACTGAATTCCTACGCGTTGGTATTCTTTGTTATACGTCCTACATAATAATCATGGTTCACACAAAAAGAAAGAAACCAGAACACAACAATAAAAAAAGGGAAGGACCGACAAACGACAGATGCATATTTGATAAGAACGTACATAATTTGTTTACTAGTAAAGAGGAGATTGCTCTGAAAACTTTGTAATTTGTTCAATAGTAAGAAGTGTATCTGTTAAATTACCTTACGGACTATTTCAAGCTCTTTTCGCAGTCTTTGAGTAGGACAGTTGATGCCAAGTATTTGAAGTCTAAGGCTATCATCTAAGGGCATATTGGCTGCCACCCAAAAAGAAAAGTCTGGAAATAAAAGACACCAAAATGTAGTTCACTGTTTTACCTCATGAAGGAGTTACATGTAGATCAAACAGTTGGTGTCACTCTACTAAGATGCCTCCATCACGATCAGCTGTTTATAAAGTACTGCATCAATTTAAAGTGATATTGTTTGCCTATCTACAGACTTGCTCTGACTTTATTCTTGCATTTTTATCTGTTAAATGTACCAATGGTAAATAAGATTAAACATGCAATACTTGGATGCTTGCATTTTTCCCCTCAAGCTATGCTGAATGACATAACCATGAAATCAGCTTCCCTAAAATTACTGAATTATCTTCTTCTCATACCAAAGGAAAAATGAAAATTCTTTAATCAGTTTACCTGGAAGCATTAGCTTCTTAGAACTTCCCCATAATACTGTAAGTACACTAACAATAGTCTCTGTCTGGGGTAGAAATATGTACAGATATTTGTCTGCAGTATTATTATTCTTCAGATGTTTGTGGAATGCAAGGGAAAAAATCTTCACCAACAGTGTCACCATTTACTGCCTGGGATGTTTACTTTTCACTTTTCAATTCCTCCTGGTATGATTTTATGAATAAACAAGCTTGCCCACTCTTCAAAATATTCTCTCATCTTGAATTACATTTCAAACTAAGACTTTAACTACAGTGGATGTAAGTTAAAGAATTGAGGAATATCACTTGGGGTATATTATGAGATATTCCCCAGATTTTGCTGGGGAGATTTTTGTTAGGTGATACATTTAGACCAATGGCACACCAGCAAAAGTATTTAATGGATTAGAACCAATTATACCATCAACACTAGCTGAAGCACAAATTGTTAATCATCATTACCTATTGGTGATTGAGGAATGTTGTCAATACGTAGAGTTTCACTCCAACTTTTTAACTCTTTCTTTATCAAATCCATCAGGACAAACTAAAACAAATTTAAGTTTGACACAAAAGTGATTATTGGGTTTCTTGAAAAGCTTCCAAGTTGGTGTTAAGTGTTGTATTGTTGGGACATACTTTGTATGCAGTAAAGAAATGATTGGTACAGCGGTTGGTTGGATGCCTGGGGTGTTTAATATAAACAGTTTCCAGTAAAGTGTTATCAAGCATGGCACTTGCTTACAGTGACTGGGAATTTATTATATTTGATGGAAATACTCTCAAAGACTTAGCTCATTGAAAAGAACCTTTATGATCCAGTCTTTGAAGAGTCAGTGTTTAGACTCATGTGTTTCTGTCCTTTACTCGCTGCATGAAGACCTGGAATGACTGCCAGGTTGATCACGTGACAGAATCCAAACAATTTCTCCCTCATTAATAATTTTTACAAATTTAAATCTTTTTTAAAACTTACTGGATTGTACAACTCATATACCCAGCTTGGCCATGAACTAAGACTAGTGGGTACCTATGAAGTTCAACACAATCAATGAATCAAATTCCAATATATAGGGTACCATTTACATATCTATAGCTCTGTAACAAACTTGTAAATACACTGTCCTGTTTTTGATTGCAGACCAGTACCAATAGTCCATTCAACTCTTGTTTTGCATCATTTAATGTTTTCGTGTTTATCTAAGATGACTGTAAGCACCCTGAACAGAATTCTCAAAATTTTTTTACATAAACCAACAACACCATTAAAAAAGATGGTTAAAGGAAAGAAAAAACTATAATTTTCATATTAGCAGTGTCTCAAGCTTGTTTCTTAGCTTTAGCCACACAGACCAACATGAGAGGAACTGTTTGAATAATAGCTACGTGCAACTGTAACTGGTAACACTTTTCTTGAATAGTAATATTTTAAATCAACCATGTTACCCCATCAAAGTAAATTTGATGCCAACTCAAAATATCTCACCTTGTGACACTTTTTCTTCCCTAATCTGTTTTTTCCTGAGGTGACCTGGTGTGGTTTTGCAAGGTAGCCATGAGTGGTTGCCTGGCAACCAAACTTGTGATAGCAAGACCAAAGTGCACCCTCAGGATGAGAGGGAAGGTTGACTTCTGGTAAGACATGCACTGTAGCGAGTAAGATACTGAGCCAGGAAAAACAACAATTTTATATGAGATTTCAACATTTACGCTCACTCCTTCAATCTAAAGATAACAAAGGTGATGAGAATTTCATTAACTGGTTGTAACCCTTTCCCAGTTCATGCATTCCCATTGTTCTTCATGTGTTTCAAATTGTACAACTACCGTACTCGAATCAGTTTGACTTATCAACCAAACATTTTGGCTGAAAGGGTAATGAGAAGTTCTTTTAACAGGTCAAGTGTAAATCTATAAAGGGTGTTGACCAAAACACATCACTATCTTGTAACTTACCCATCCACTTGCCTACGCAGTTCTTTTATTCGAAACCTTTGACGACCTGTAGCTTTGATCCGAAGTGTGTTGATTCCTGCATCAGACTCTTCTTTCATGGAGAATATTTCTGCTGTGGTTCCAATGGCAGCAAGCAGCTGGCTTTGGTTGATGCCGTATCTAGAGAACAACATAATATATAATAAATGCTGAAAGTACAGATGGATATGATATATTGAAAGACTTGTTCAGAGTTATGGAATTGAGCTTTTGTCTATTTTTACTTTACAAAAGTTTACTTATTTCTAGTTTCAAAAAGAGAATTAAGAACAAAATTATATGTAACATTTAGCACCAGGAATGAACTTCCAATTCCATTCCATAGCAGAAGAGTAACCCAAATGCGAAAAAAAAAAAAAAGCACAACAAAGAAAAAAATGTGATAGCATATTCTCCAAGGGGGGATAATATCATAAATCTCTCACCTTGCATTTACCAAACCAAATGTTCTGTCTTTTTCTATAATATTCTTCATCATTGACACAGACTGGTGTGAAGAAGATGTACACAGTCATGTAGTTAATTATTTTCAATGCACTCATAAAAATTGGTAAACCAATCTTGTAAGCAAATAATACCAGATTAGCAATACCCCATCAAAGTGAACATATGGCTATCAGAAAGATAAAATCCTTGATTCATTTATTTTCTTTAGAGCCCTTTTCAACGCAGTTTTGAAAGACTAAAACCAAAGTAATCACAACATAGAGTAAGAACAAAGGAGAACATTACTAAGAGCCCTAGGAAACTCACAGAAAAGACATGAAACTGCCTGAGGCATGGGAAAACTTGAGCAACCAAATTTCATTGGTTTCAGGTTTGTATTAATTTGTAGTAGGGCAAGAGAGAAGTTCAAGTTTTCCAGACCAGTCATAGGCATAGTTAAGCAAAACCAATGAAATCTTGTAGTACTTTTCAAATTCTATTGAAAATTGCCTCAGTAAAGTTGGTCAAATCATTTACCCTGTGATGTAAAAATTAGTATATTAATTTCCTAATGTTTACTACTTCTGTCCAAGTTCAAATTAATTGACCTTTAATCTAATGAGTCATAACTACATTTTCCAGAATTTTATACCTAACCTGAGGCTGAAATAAGTGAAGAGGAAGAGTTTGTCCAGGCACCAAAACAAGCTCAGGTAACATCAACAATGGAAGGGTGATGTGTGTACCAGGCTCATGGTATGTGCGTCCACTGAACTCATCCATCTCCTCACCAAGATACTGGAAGGAAAATAGACCACTATCTTATTTGTTACAAATTGAATGTTTCTAGTTATGAGTCCTAGACTTCAGTTAATAAACGCTAATTGCATTATAATCCTTTCCTTCCCCACGATTACCGAAAGATAATTTCTTGTTAGGGTATCAACACAACATCAAGCACCTAAGAGATGAGAACACAGAAGAGAACTAACTAAGGGATTGCCATTTGATCCAACACCAAATTCTTACAACAAACTTCACAGAAAATGCATGGCAAACAGTAAGGAGAATTCACACTGAGATATTGGGAGTGGAAGGACTAAGAGAGTTTAAGATACAGGTGTAATGCTCACTTGATGGCGAGTGGGAAGTGACTGGTCAAAATTCATTGTACACTCATCAAGGGCTCCACCCTCATCGCTATCCTGGACAATTTCAGCTGAAGAAAAAACACAAAACAAATACACTGAATGCTTTGCTAAGTCAGATCAATCCGTCTTTTGTGGCCAAATGTTAAAACATACAAAATTTAAAATACAAATCGAAATAAAAATTTATGAGCTTGCCTTGGAGAAAATGAGTTTATGAATGCCGCGTTCAGAGTAACTCTAATCGCAGAAGCTGAAGGTGAACGTCAGTATAGTCTCCATTAATTTTTTTTAAGTATGCATGTTTTTGTCAGTTCAAATTTGTTTTAGTCCTGAATATGCAAGAAAGTTTCCGATAGATCAAGAATTCCAACATATAGCCCTTTTGATAATAGCCCAAACCATACCGGTGTATCTCCAGTCAAGAGAAAATATGTCAAAATTCATTAGTACTTTCTGTGCCTCGCTACCAAAACAAACCCTCTACTTCTACACCGTTTAAGGGACTTCCTCCACACAATAATACTACCTGCCGATTCACTTGTATCTGATTCATAATCACCCCTTAGGTACAGTTCAAGTTCACCATCGTATCCGTTTTGAACGTTAAGGTCTTCGTATTGCTCTTCGTCCGAAGACTCGTCCGCCATGTTTGTTTTGATTCTGCAACTGTTGCTAGTACTTCTGGGAAGACTGGCTGTCCTTGGCGGAAGTGAGACGTCATCTTTGCCCACTGACCAATCACAGAACGCTTCGTATGCTGCAGTTTGAAGGGAACATTCTGCTACGGAGAAGACTACACGTTAGCTTTGGTAGAAAACATTTGGTCGCTATTCTTTCGGATTGAAATTCTCTCGCTCATCGACTGTTTGCCTATTGAATCACAGATAAAAGGACTATGAACTGTGACAATCTTGTTCTTCTGGTAACGGCGGCATTTAGTATCCTGGTGGTCGATTTGGCTGTAGCCAAGGACTATTATAAAATATTAGGGGTTCCTAGAGATGCGAACGACAGACAGATCAAGAAAGCATTCAGGAAGCTTGCTGTAAAATATCATCCCGATAAAAATAAAGCTAAAGATGCTGAAGCAAAATTTAGAGAGGTTGCTGAAGGTAGGTAATGTAATGTAAATTCTTGATTTAGACTTCAATATATCTCTCTTGAAATGTGTTTGTTGCTTGTGATTGAGCCTTAACAAGCGAAACAATCATATTGAGCAAGATTTACCAGTTACCTTAACCAGTCTTTTTTTTAACATTTAAGTTGTATTGTTACTCGTCCGAATGAAAAAGGAAGTCTTGATTTCCTTTTTTATGGATTATAAATTGGTAAAAAGCCACGACGTTAGTTAGATATCTTCAAATACCGGGTGTCGATTTCTGTGAATCTGTTATGTTCACTGTCAAACCTCTTGGCAGATATTTAAATTTTGTCTTGTTCGTGATGGAGAGACGATCGCCTCACTTCCTTAAAACGAATATTCTTGTTTTCAAAGACTGTTGGGTTTTAGTTAATCTCGGCATTGTTGACATTACAGTGTACTTGTGGATTGCACAACAATGGTAAAATTCCACAACAATATCTAGACGTTTTATTGTTTTGATTTTTTTCCCAGTCGTGTGTGGATTGTCAACGTTTAAGTCGTTCTCCCAAAGTCAGTAGAATGGTTGTGAAACTTTGTAAAGGGATTTAAGCCTGCAAATCTCTACAATTATGTTGTGCTTTCTTATTCGGAAACACCTTATTATTTTTTGAGAAGTGGTCACTTCACTATCTCGAGTATAATTACATGCGATGTACATGGATATATGTGAACACTACAGGTGTAAGATCACAAGGTACATTGTACAATGAGGCCAGATATTTTGAAACGGTTGTCATTTTTATTGTGGGTCTGAAGATGTCAAACAGTTGCCATAAACATTTCAGTTTCAACCTGAATTATTAAGTATCCAGGAACATTTTTATTCTCAATAAATTACCCATCAGTTTACAGACAGTTTTGATTTCTTCATGTGTGTTATATTGTACAGATAAGAGACTTTTTATGATTGATTAAAGCCTCCACAATGGCTAGGTATCTGTCTTGTACTGTTAAAGAAATTTCAATCGTCTGTGTGAGAAAGAAGTGTAAATTGAACAGTGAGAAGCTTATATGAAACCATAAATTTCAGTTTACCAAACACTTACTGCTTACTTCCAAGTGCACTTTACCCTGGATATTAAAACTGCAGAATTTGTTTTCAGTCCCTCAAGTAATCTTAAAACTGATTCTAAAACTACTAACCTTAGGGATGTTGTTAACAAAATTTATTTCCCCTCTCTACCCATGCAGCATATGAGGTACTATCAGACGAGAAGAAAAGGCGGCAGTATGACCAGTTTGGATCAGAAGGGATGAATAATGATGGCTTCAACTTCCATCAAGGATTTCAGAGCTTTGATGATTTGTTTAAAGACTTTGACTTTGGTTTTGGAAATGGACACAATCATAGGGGAGGAAGCGGAGGTTTTAAGTTTTCATTTGGAGGAGGGTTTGATGATTTCTTTGATGAGGATGATGATGAAGATGACGAGGAAGATGACTTTTTCGGAGGAGGATTTAAGTTTGGTGGCTTTGGAGATTCATTCTTTAGTGATGACAGCTTTCATACTGGTAGACATAGAGATGACTTTTACTCTGAAGATAATGGGGATAGATTCCACAGAAATGTCAGACATTCAGAGTTTAAACAGACACAATCAAGTAAGTGAGATGTAAAAGTATATTTTACAAATTATTGACCAAAACGATCATTGATCAAGATTCTACTACAGAAGAGCCAATGAATGTGGAAATAGCAACTGGCAGTGTTATTTGTTATCATGTGGTCAATGAGTGGTTATCCACTGTGACCACAGGGATTAACAAAAAACCACTGTAGTCATGGCTGGTAGGTTTACTAACTTCAACAGAAGACTTAAAACTAAAATAAACTGAAAAAGTACACTGATGACATATGCAAAAGTTTGTTGAATGACACTGTATAAAGAAAACATAAAAATAAAATTTGAAATGAAATGCTATACGGGAACTAATTAAACTTAGTACATGAAATACACTTATTTACCTTGTCCAGCCTTAGGATCGTGAAATGGACAACAAAAACGCGCTAAATAACTATAAATCTTGCAAAGGTTTGAGTCAACTAACTTGTAATCTGCAAGAGGAAAAACACACTGTTCATGTGACTGAAATGGCATGAAAACTTAACCATGCACAAACTGGGCTAGTTACAGTCACTTTTACAATGTCTCAAAGGTAGTACAGGGAAAAGAACAGTACAGCTCAGAGGTACATGGCTAATGCACATGCAAAACCTTTGCTTGTTTTTTGCATTACGCACAAAAAAGTGCAGTCAAAAGTGCATATCTTAAGTGTGTTTTAACTTTTGTTATTCAATGCAGTCAGCTTACTTTAGTTTCTCATCAAATCATTGTGATAAACTGTTGTTTAGTACCTTCACCGCCATCCACTGAAATGTATCTTTGGTTCTGGAATTGAAATATAGTAGGCTAGCAGTAGTGAGGTGCATGCCATGGTGAAGAAAATAGCAGGTGTTCCACAGATCTTAGCTTTCCAGGTTTTGTGTTCATGTAGGGTTAGTGAAGAATTGTGAATGAGTTTATTGTTGCACTGCCTTTGAATGCATCTTTTTGTTAAATAACAGTTAATTCCAGTATAATTATATGGCAAGGTTTTCATTAGGTAGATCTGAGCATTCTGATTGGTTCTTACTTGCTGGGCAGTATTTTCCCATATAGACCATATTTGTAGGAATGGTCACAAGCTGTGTAATTTTGTTTTCTAAAGCCGGCAAATTCAAAATAAAAAGTTTGGTCTGAGTGCCAAATAAAGTAAATATGTGAACCACTAATAATACTAATCTCCCTTGCTGGAGCTGTACTTGGGACTATTGGTCCTCAATCGTTTTTGTACAGATGTTGCTGTGCTTGATCTGTACTTGCACGACCTTAGGCCAATATATTCCTCAATATCGGCCTCACACTCACTTAGCAAGAAGTTAATGTTTATTGAAGATATCTTTCAATTTTTGTAAGTGACTTGATGCAAATTATTTTTTTATCTGTATGTTATTAACATCATACATCTTTTGATCTTTAGGAGGTAGAAGTTGCAGAACTGTCACAAGGAAAGTGGGAAACATGGTTACAACTTTTACAGATTGTTCATAGGGATGGTATCGACTATTTTGTAGATTATAATTTTCTTGGGACAGGGAATTGACAAGTGTAGTAGGGAAACTTATCATAATCAAACTGGATTAAGTAGTGCCACAGGTAGCTGAAGTAACTGATACACTGCTGTTAACTACAGCTTGTAGGAAATTACATGGAACAATCTAGCTTTTACAGAAAGGTTATTTAATTATGTTCAGCGATGTTTTCAGTTAATTCACAATGCTAACAGAGGGAACATTGTTGAGTTAAGTGAATCTGAACAGAACAAGATTAATTTACTCATAGTTTAAGCGATGGGTTCAAATGTAGGCAAAACTTGAATGGTAGCTCAAGTTGACAGTCCCCTAGTACGTGTGGTGGGCAAAGGGAATGGGGTGAGCAAAACATTTGTGGCAATAGGGCAGAAAGTTACTAATGAAAATTGTCTATTCTAAGGCAGAAGGATTAATATATTTTTGTGAAGAATTATCGAGTGTTTTATTTGTTTGAAGGTTCTCTCAACTACCTGTGGCACTGAGGGTGGTATGATATTTTTTCTTCAATCAGAATGACTTATATACTGAAAAAAAATCTCTTTTTGTTCTTTGTTTGTACCAGAAGGAATTTTTTGAAAGATTTCTACAATATTTAAAGTGAAATAGTAGTGAAGGATTCACTGTTTGCCATTAAATGCGGTTAACTCTGAAATTTAGTGATATGTGTATGATTAAGGTACACAAGAATTACTTATTTAGCAAGTCACTGTAAAGTAATATAGAATTTGTCTGTACATATTTGTACATGGAATAAAATCACAATTTCTTAAAAATTTATCCTTGTTTTGATGAGATCTTTTAAAACATCTCTGAATTTTTCTGGTAGAGTTCTGAAAAAGGGGTTCCTTGTAAATAATGATTTCTTGAGGACCTTAGCACAAAATGTCAAGTATGATGGGATAGGTGCATCAAATTTCCTGGCTGTAGATGCTAAAGAATGGATGATAAGCAAAATTTGTTTGTAACTGCATTTTACATGTACTTGTTAATGATTCTGTCCACATGAGGGGAGACAAGTTAGGTACATCTGTCATCTGCAAGAATCTCTCAGTCTGCTGTAGAACTTTTAATTTAATGATGTTTTAAGACATTATTTCTGCCTTGGCTTGAATATTGAATGTCACTTTTAACTAAACCATTCTCTTGCCAGTGCAAAGGAAATACAGGTCAGAGTAACCCCAGTAGCCTAAAAGAAATGCAGTTAAAAATATTTAGGGAACCCCTATCAAGGAACCTGCCCTTACTACTTAGAAAGGGCTTAGGACTCTAAAGGAGGCTCAAACTGTCAGAGTTAAAGGCTCAGAGAGGTTTGATTACTTTTAAACAGTTATTCTTTCATGGATCATAGCTTCTGGACTTTCTGTTTTGTTTCCTTAAGATAGCTATATAAAAGATGCCCAATTGAGTATTTCTCAACCTTCTTTTTTCTTTTCTTTTTATAGTTAATGATACCACAGCAACCCTTTCTCTGAATCTTTCTCTGCAAATAGTTCAGAAAGAAAACAATTTATTGACTTAAGCAGTTAGTGAAGCTTACATTTTCCAAGCAAAGCTGCATCACATTTCACCTTGTGTGGCAGCTGTGTTCATTGAAATTTATATTCTCAAAACAACCAAACTATTGATTGTTCTGGTGCTTAGCTGATTTTCCAGACTGAAAATGCAAAGGTACTTTCACTATTTATCCCACTAGAATGTACAGTTAAGAGAACAAGTTTCAATGATGCATTTTCTGATATTTTATTTTTTCAAGGAAAAAAAAACAAACTAATAAACAGAACTATGAATGCTACTAGATATGTTACCAGTATATACAACATTTATACTGCATTCTTTTCCCACATCAACCACAGTGATGAAACCAACACTTCCTGGTGGCCCACTGTTTATACTCGGTTCATAATGTTCAGTGGCAACTACATTGGCTGAGTGAACAGCCCCATGTTAGCTTGGTAAGGATCTTTTGCTTGCCTCATCTACCTCCTCTAAATTAGGTAACCAGAATGCCTTTAAACAGAACAAAAATAACAAGATATTAGTCTCAACATTGCTTTGGATCTCAGCATGGTTCCTCACAGCTCAAGTCATCTTTCTTTTTTAGTGAAAATGTTGAACTACTGGTACTTCATTTGAGTTTGGGTAAGTAGCAAACTTTCATCACAGGACAAGTTGACATCAGAATCAACTGAGCTCGGATAGTTGCTGCTACAGAAAACTCTCAACTTTTTGAAAGAAAAAGGAGGTTGTACTGTTGTAAAATGTCTATATAAAAATTTAGGTGCAGGATGTTAACAAAAAAAAAAAACCCTGAAAGACACATGACTTATAATATTGGTCAGATGATGGTTGCATAATATCAAAGGTTTAACGAAAAAAAAACAACACCTTTTTTATCCACAACTGCACTTACACTACAGTAGTAAAACAGGATGGAATTGCATGCATTAGTCTGGAATGTACCACAGAAATGAGGATGGAGGACCCCTTAAAAAACCGTTTTGTTATTATCTCCCTAACATGTGACACCAGTGTGCAAAGTTTCAATACAAAGTTATTACAAACTTCATTCTAGGGAATCACCTTCAACTCTGATGAGTTATCAACTCGTAATCTTTCAATCTGTTCTTCTACTAACTGTACATAATTTGTACACAGACATGCATGTGTCACCAATAAATAATACTGACCATGTTGGTACAAGCACTGGCCAACATCATGTACTTAGGATTGAATGCAACACATTGAATAGGACCAGGGTGATTACCCTCCAAAACAGTCAGCTTCTGCCCGCTGTCTGACCCCCAGACATGGACACGCCCATCTTGAGAACCTGTTCAACAACACAATGCACCATTTACATGTTTCAGGTGGTATGATGAAACGTACTTCAAGAAGTTGAATTTGTTTCTCAGCGACTGATGAATCTCCAAATAAAATTGTTCTCTGAGTGAAATACTGAATTCATACATATGATAGTAGATATATTGATGTAAAATATTTTACCAGAGATGGCATATTGTGCATCAGGAGTGAAACAAACTTCAACTGGAGTAGACCTTGTCACAGTATGACCCTAAATAAATAATGTAACATAAAGGTATAATTTGGATATATCAACAAAGTTGAAATGGTAAATTGGCCACTGTAACAATTACAAAAGCTGACGTTTCGAGCGTTAGCCCTTTGTCGCAGCGAATAGAGGAATTGTGGGTTGTGTGTGCTTTTAAAGGCAGTGTGGATTGAAAAATGCTAAGACAAAAGTTAGTAGTTGCAGCAATCAAAATACAAATGAATAAAGGCTGATAGTTTCGAAAGAAACTGTTTGGGCTGCGTCGGTGGGAGTAACGAAATAATTTGGATATATTAAAGTTGAAATGGTAAATTGGCCACGGTAACGATTACAAAAGCTGACATTTCGAGCGTTAGCCCTTCATTAGTCCTTTTGTTACTCCCACCGATGCAGCCCCAAACAGTTTCTTTCGAAACTATCTGCCTTTAACATAAAGGTAGTTTTAGCTAATTTTAGATCAGGTCACTTTATAGTTTCTTTAGTGTACATTGTAGCTAAAGTAGTACTCCAAAGCAGCGATTTACATTCAAAATATACTTAAATTGTATATATTAATACATTATTTAAAGGATCATCTTGTCACTCACTAATGCTTTGCAAGTTTTTGGCAAATGTTTCATTTTAGCAAATGCAGCAGAATGTGTTGCTCAATCACACAATGATGAAAGCCCAGAGAAACCTCTACATAATAACTGATGTTTTTGCTACATGTTCCAATCTTACTTCACCTTGTCTATAGACAGGATATCCGCATCTGATTTTTCAGTTTCACGATGAATGTAAGTGTGCCGCTGTATAGGTATTTGACCAGAACTACAAAAATTTAGCATTACTGTGCAACTAACATAAGCAGTACTTACAGTGAAAGTATGTAGCTGTGTTCCTTGAAAAGCATCAATCAAATGAATGACTCCTCCATTTGTGGCCAATAAGATCATTTTTCCATCAGAACTAAACTTAACTCCAGTCCACTCAATGTTTGGGTCATTTTGAATGTGGAAAGTAGAAAATGGACCCTAAAGGAAACAATTCAATTACACTTTTAAATTTTTAAGAAAATGTAGGTTAGATTACACAGCAAAGCAAGGTAAAAGTGAGAAAAAATATTAAAACTGAAATAATAATAATAATAAAAAATACAAAAAAGAGGTAAATTTTGAACTTGGATATGAACACTATTTAAGCAGTAGTGAAAAAAATGCCTGAAAAAAAACTCAGGCTTGTACGGGATTTGAACCCATCACCTCTGCGATACCAGAACAGTGTTCTACCAACTGAGCTAACAAGCCAACTGGAAGCTGGTCACTAGTGTTCATTACCACAAGGATGACTTTCATCTAAATTTCTTAAAAACCAAAGTGCACATAATTTGGATATATCAATAAAGTTGAAATGGTAAATTGGTCACTGTAACGATTACAAAAGCTGACGTTTCGAGCGTTTTCCCTTCGTCGGAGCGAATAGAAGAATTGTGGTTTGTGTGTGCTTTGAAAGGCAGAAAATGGAGCTACAATTCCTCTATTCGCTCCGACGAAGAGCTAACGCTCGAAATATCAGCTTTTGTAATTGTTACGGTGGCCAATTTACTATTTCAACTTTGTTGATATATCCAAATTATTTCATTACCCTCGCCGATGCAGCCCCAAACAGTTTCTTTAGAAACTATCAGCCTTTATTCACAGTGCACATATGATTTACCAACAATCAGTCTTTTAACTTGGTTGTTGAATAAAGAAGGTTTTAAATCTAAGTTTCCCTCCTTGAAGGCTGAACTTTATGAACTAGGCTTACTCTGGTCATGTGACAAATTAAATTTAAGTAACTTTCCTTCATACATTTTAAGTGTACATTGCACTTTACAAACATCAAGGGTAAAAACAAGGAATGCTCACTGAAGGAAGAGTACGTAGGACTGAAAAATCCAATTCTTTGTTTCCAAAAATTATATTTGGGGTCAATGGTGCCTTTGGTTATTGTGCACTCATTTCAATGACAAGGTAAGCATGCCAATCACAAACTAAGTACATGCCATGAAAAATACCAGCCTAGCAAATCACCCTGCAATTTTTTTTTTATTTTGAAATAACCCCAATATTATTTTTCATTTCAAAAGATCAATATGAATGTGAGCAGTCTTAATAACATTCCATTGAGACTATTCACTTGATACCATATTGTACTTATTCCAAATTTCTTTGGATGTAAATGACTAATGAGTGAACTTTTTGAGACTAATGTAATCTAAAAAAAAAGGTAATTTAGGAGCAAAAGTCTGTTAAGTTAGGTCAACTAACATCAAATAAAGACCATCCTTTTCGTAATCTGAAAATTTTAATTTCCCTTTTGATTTATTTCGAGCTGATATTATGCCATGTACCCAAGCTCCTAAAAACACTTAACCCTCCAAAGTGTTCCTTTTACAAAACTAAATGCAGCTGTTGCCCTTTGGTTCAGTTGCCTTTTCAACAGGAGTTGGCAGTGCTCTTTGCTGCTGCTGTTTTTTGCTGCTGCTGCTGTTTTACTGTTTTTATTATTATTTCATGGAACATTAAAAGCCAATTTACACAACCTACATGTAGCATTAGCTAATCTTGGCAGGTATTATTAATAAATAAGTAAATACTACACATTGTAAGCTAAAGAGATTTCATTACTACTACAGTATTACTGCAGTTATAAGCTATGCATTAGTTTACTACATTATAAGCTAAATGAGTTGTCATACAAATTAAATACAATAAAATTACTAGTAAGTTAAACAAGACATAGTAATCAAATACAGGTAGAGCAGACTGGAAAGTAGAGAGGAGTGAATTGTGACATATGGATGTGAGCGAATAATATTCGATAATCAATGGTATTGAATTTCAATATTAGTGAATGGGTGTCGAAATAATAGTCCTCAATCCCAAGTATCGTCAAAAGCAACTTATGAATTTTCCTTTTAAATGCTCTTTCTGTGAGCTTACGCAAGTCAGGGTTTAGACAGTTCGATAACCTCATACCAAACACAGAGAAAGACTTAGATTTCTGTACATAAAAATTCTCTGTGGAAGAGAAATGCGCATTATATGTATGGATGTCAGATGAAGTTCCCAAATATTCCTTGGTGTGGAGCTAGTAGAAACATCATGCATTATGGTGGAAACTGTTTCAAAATAGAGCATAGTAATAGGTAGGATACTCGCAGTTACGAAAAGAAGGATAGCATGAGATATTTTGCTGGAAAAGAAAATCAAATGGAGTGCACACTTTTGTAAGGTGAGAATCTTTTTAAATCACTCTGAGCTGCCTGAACTCAAGCAGCTATACTGTAGAGCGTGTAGGGAAAAATCAGCCATCGGCAAATTTGAAGAAGGGTATTTAAAGGTACATGATGTCTAAACCTGGCAATTATGCCGGCTATTTTACTAATCTTCGAAGCAATATGGTCCATATTTGGCTTTCAGGTTAAGTTCTTGTCAATTGATACACCCAAAAATTTTACATGATCTTTGCGTTCAAGAAGTGTGAATCCACTGTTGTTATTATCCAGAATTTTGATACATAGCTGATGATTAATTCTTTTTTGTGCTGGTATAAAAACGACAAAATTTGATTTCTTCGCATTAATGGTTAGTTTATTAGCATCAAACCAGTCACAAACATTTTTTAGCTCATTATTAGCTACGGTTTCAAGGGATTTCAAGTCCTTGTCGGCATTTAACAGGTTTGTGTCATCAGGAAACAGATAAAAGCCAAGTTTACTGCTACAAACTTAAGATAAATATCATTAATATAAATCAAGAAAAGTAAGGGGCCTAAAACAGACCCTTGTGGAACTCCAGTTACCGAGTTTTTCTTAGATGAAATATGGTCATTATCAATATGCGTTCGCTAGGAATTGTATCAGTCACCCAGTTGAGAATATGATAAAAAGAAAATAATTCAAATACTGGAAAATTATAGACGAATGATCAAACACGGCCTTCATCAGGAAACTGCTGAGTCAGCCTAGGTCACGCAAGTGTCACATGATAGCTGACTCGATGTGAAGATCTTGGACAAGGAAGAAGACTGTGTCAGACGTGGCATCAAAGAAGCGGTTTGGGAGAGGGTAGAGGACCCTTCTCTTAATAAGAAAGGGGGGTTGCGGTTTGTACTATCGCACACATGGGACCATACATTATGGTATGTGCCGAGTCAGCCATCACGTGACACTTGCATGACCTGACTCGGCAGTTTCCTGATGAAGGCCATGTGGTATGGTCAAAATGTCGATTGTTCGTCTATAATTTTCCAGTATTTGAATTATTTTCTTTATATCACCAATATGCGTTGTTTGCGTTCGATTAGTCAAAGACAACGAGAACCACTCATGTACAATGCCTCTTATCCCATAATGGTGCAATTTATCAAGTAAAATAGTGTGATTGACAGTATCAAACGCTTTTTTGAAATCGAGAAAAATACCACATGTGAACATTTTCTTGTCAATATTAGTTTGTACTGTATTTACTATGTCCGAAATTGCATGCTGAGTGGAGAATTTCTCTCTAAAGTCTTACTGGGCTTCAAATAAAAGTTCATTATATTTGATGTATGATTTCAATTGTTTGTACATAAGTTTTTAAATATTCTATTGAAGATGGAGAGTAGCGAAATAGGAGGGTAGTTGCTAGGGTTGGTCTCATTGTCACCCTTGTATACCGGGATAACTTTTGCCTGTTTTAGCTTGGAAGGATATTTTCCACTTTGGACAGAGAGGTTGATAAAGCTCGGCTAGTTGTGAAGTGAGTATGCTCTTTGCACATTTCAAAACACAAATAGGGCATGAATATAGTCCATAAGCCTTGTTTGCTGGTAAAAGCGAGATTTCTAGTTCAATATCTGATGAAATGACTGGTTCAAAGAAAAAGGAAGTGGTGAAATTAGTATTTGTTAAGTATTCACTATAGTGACAATTACTATCTTGTACATTTGCCGCTTGCTTTTGGCCAACCGTAGAAAAGACATTGTTTAGCATGTTCGGCAATGCCACTGGATTACGTCAAACCATTTCCATTTAGTCGTTTAAGGCTAACAGTTAAGGTTCATTACGTCATTGATTCCAATCCATGCTTTCTTCATGTAATGATCAGCGGTATTACACGTTACGGACATGCACATGAGGAGAACACATGAGCATCGTTTTGTAAAGAGGTTGGATTTTTAAATTATTAAAACTGTTATCAAAATCCATCGTGTTTTCATATCAAGAATATTACATGGTGTCAGGAGTAAAACACGAAACAGAAACTCAACCATCCATCTAGCGAAAATTTGGACAAAATACAGCCGGCGTTTCAGAGCAATCAACATTGGCGATCCAACTTCATGTCACAGGATCTGTCACTTCTTGACACGCCGGAAGAGGTAGAAAACACCGAAGAAACACAACAACCAGTGGAAATCGAAGAACACACAATCAAAATGGCGATGCACTTAAGCCTCACAGTACCTCTTGAGTTAAGTGGGGGAAACATCTTGGCCAACTGGAAGAAATTCAAACAGAAATATGTAAATTACAAAATTGCGACCGGAATAAGCTTGAAGGACAGTGCAACCAGGGTAGCAACACTTCTGACAGTTATCGGCAATGATGCTATCGATGTTTTCAACACTCCAACCTGGGATGAAGAAGACGATGACAAGAAAAGTGATAAGGTACTGTCGAAATTTGAGCAATACTGTGAACCAAAGAAAAATGTCAGCTACAAAAGATACAAATTCTTCTCAAGGGCCCAAGAAAGCGGCGAAAGTATCAAGCAGTATGTAATGATACTAAAAAAGCTTTGTGAAACATGTGAATTTGGGACATTGAAAAATTCTCTCATCAAGGATCGAATTGTACTTGGTGTAAACAACACGAAAACGAGAGAAAGACTTCTCCAGGTGAAAGACCTTACACTGGAAAAAGCAGTAGACGTAGTACGATCTGCAGAGGCCACAAAAATTCAAATGAAAGAACTAGACTGTGACTCATCAGTGCATTGAA